GACGGATGTGAAATTGGCACTCGTGTGTCTTTGCTAAATCAAATATAACAGTCTGAAAACACTGACAGAGACATATTTGAGTGTGTGTAAGGCGCTGGAAAACACCTGCTTACACAAAACATGCAGAAACGGTTTCACTATTTTGGTGAAATGTCATTTATTTCATGGCAAGCTTGACATGTGCATGGAATGGCTCATTTAATTTCTGAAATGCAGATGAGATGTGCATGTAAATGAGCAGTTCCATGCAGAAAGTTTTCACCTAAATACTGGAACTGTTCCTGTGTTTGTGTAAGCAGGTGTTTTCCAGCGCTTTACACACACTCTAATATGTCTCTGTCAGTGTTTTCAGACATTTGATTTAGCAAAGACACACAATTGAGTTTGTTCTGCACGTCACATCCACAACACTGGAACTGCTCGAATATTGATGCAACAAGATCGTTTTGTTAGCATGTGTGTGTGTATGTATATCACATATGCTTATTATATATGCACACAGCTGAAGTCAGAATTATTCACCCTCGTTTATTTTTTCCTCAATTTGTGTTTACAGAGGGCAGATTTCTGTGTGTGTATATTACTTAAAAATATATATTATGCCAAACAAACGTACTAAAACAATGATGACATGAAGTAATCAGAAGTTTCTGTCTGCTGTAAATAATTAATCAAACAAATGTCAGTAATGTGGATAATGTGATGATGTTTACATGCCTGAACACACCATGACACCTCAATATAACCATGCTGAACGCCATTATGAGCTGATTATGAGTGTGTATGGGTGTTTCCCAGTACTGGGTTGCAGCTGGAAGGGCATCCGCTGTGTAAAACATATGCTGGAATAGTTGGCGGTTCATTCCGCTGTGGCGACTCGTGGTGAATTAAGAGACTAAGCTGAAGGAGAATGACTGGCTGAATGAATGAGCTGGTGGGAATAGAGCAGTCCTGATGCAGTGTAGATGGTTTTGGCCACTGTGTCGGCTTTATTCTCAGACAGTAGATGCTCTATAGTGTTGATCCTCTCTCCAGTGTGATTTAACATTGACGTCCTCCGTCAGTCATTCTCTAACATTTTAATCTGCTGCTACACTGCGCTCCAGTGCTGGGCCAGACACATGTGCTGTGAGTGGGCATCAGCTACATTCATTCCACAGGGATTATACACTACATCATCTACATGTGTGTGATCTACAGTGCGCTGTAACACACTCATACATGCGTCTTATTATGGTTAATAGTTATAAATGTGCATGAAACATTAAGCTTAGTAGACAATTAGTAGGAGCTATCAGTCATTTAGGGAGGAGCTATCAGTCATTTAGGGAGGAGCTATCAGTCCTTTAGGGAGGAGCTATCAGTCCTTTAGGGAGGAGCTATCAGTCATTTAGGGAGGAGCTATCAGTCCTTTAGGGAGGAGCTATCAGTCCTTTAGGGAGGAGCTATCAGTCATTTAGGGAGGAGCTATCAGTCCTTTAGGGAGGAGCTATCAGTCCTTTAGGGAGGAGCTGTCAGTCCTTTAGGGAGGAGCTATCAGTCCTTTAGGGAGGAGCTATCAGTCATTTAGGGAGGAGCTATCAGTCCTTTAGGGAGGAGCTATCAGTCCTTTAGGGAGGAGCTATCAGTCCTTTAGGGAGGAGCTATCAGTCCTTTAGGGAGGAGCTATCAGTCCTTTAGGGAGGAGCTATCAGTCCTTTAAGGAAGAGTTGTCAGTCATTTAGGGAGGAGCTATCTGTCTTTTAGGGTGGAGCCATCAGTCATTTAGGGTTTGGTTTTGTTTGGTTTGGTCTCTCATTTGGACTGTTTTAATGGGATGTATGTCCTGATCGGGTACAAAAGGGTACTTAAGTTCCATTTCACACCGACGTATGTGCAGATGTATGTGCACTAGGCTTTTTGTTCAGGTCTGAATGAAGCTGAGTTTGTCTGAGCAATTGAATTGGTAACCATTTAGCGATCTTGGTGTAGAAACAAGCAAACCACTCTTCAGAGCCGGGGTGGGTTGAGTGGATCAGCACTGGTTTCTGCTGAACCAGAGCAGGGTTGGTGCAGATGAGAATACTGTGAGCACACTGTTTACAAAAGAGTCTCGTAGATGTGTCAGTAACAGTCCCAATGCACAGGCTTATTACCTGCCTATTATTAACATGTTCAGTGTTTATTAGCAGATATAGAGTCTGGTCTGTTCTACATCCCTAACCCGGCCTTACTGACACTTATTAATATTATATGTCAGTATTAAATATAATAACAGATTTATTGAGCTAACCCTCACAGTTAACAGAGGAATTGTGATTTAAAGTGTTGTTGATGTGTTTATGCATTTAACATCTTTACTGATTAAGTGACTTTGGCTAATAAATAATAATGATGATGATGATGATGATGATGCAATTAATAGTATTATATAATGTAAAATAACACACACAGTCTTTCTCAACGCTTCTGTTTAAAGTAAGATGGCCAGACTTCATACCGTTCTGCTTTTCTATGAAACGTCAGGCCAATTTGAGAGTGTGTTTGAGAGCAGTGTGTGTGTGTGTGTGTGTGTGTGTGTGTGTGTGCGCAGCAGAACTGGTGAGAGCTGGATCTGCTTATGTAAGAGCAGCTGAAAGCAGCACAAAAGAGTAGGAGCAGATTGGATGGGGGGCTTTCACTGCTCGGAGACGGAGAGGCCAGCGCATGTCCCTCTGAACACATCCACATTCCCCGAACCACACCGCTTCCTACCTGAGAGTACACCTGCACACACGAGACACACGCGTGTGTGTGATGCTCCTGTGTGTTACACGTGTGAAAGAGGACAGAGCTCAGCACAATCTATGCTCCTCATCACAGCAGTGTTCTCACGCTCCGTCACACACACACACACACACACACACACACACACACACACACACACACACACACACACACACACACACACACACACACACACGTGTTTCACTGAGGAGTTTCACTGCTAACGTCACAACATGGGGACTTTGATTCAGTTTCTGCAGCACAAATAACACACACACACACACACACACACTTCCAGAAATGAGGCAGCGCTCGTCTTACTGAGCATCACAGCGTTAGAGAAGTGTTTGTTCTGCAGTGCACTGAGTGTGTGTGTGTGTGTGTGTGTGTTCAGGTTGGGACAATGTTGAAGCATGGTTGTTTGTGTGCAGAGAATGGGTGAACACTCCCCCCAAACACACACACACACACACACACACACTTCTCTCTCTGGATCTTGCTGTTACCATGGCGATGCCTGCTCAGTTGCTCATGACATCAGCTCTAGCCGTTTCCCACACACAGGAATGAAACAAACAAACACACGAGTGTCCACCGATGGAGATCTACAGCGTTTAGCGAAGAGCCAGAGCTTAAATCAGAGGCACTGAGATCAGGATCCAGCAGCAGGGCACACGTCATTATTCTTTGTATAATTCACCTGATGTCTCTGACCTGGCCTTTGAAGGGGACGTGCATCGTCCAGCTGAAGATAGTGTGGTCAGGCCTTCAGGGTAGAGCTGCAGTATATCTGCAGTGTGGAGTCGGGATTAAAGATGATCAGCAGGGAAGACTGGACAGTGATGATGATGATGATAGATCACAAGACAACCTTCCACAATATATCATGATGTCTGTAAATAAGGGAAAATGTGTCAAAAAGTTGTAAGATCCATTTATTTTTATTGATTAGTAATTATTTATTTTTATTTTTATATGTCAGATTTCTCCAATCCAGGGCAAACACTGAGTGATGCTGCATTACGAGAGTCTAACCGTGAGCTCGTAATGCATTTCTGCAGTACATATCTACAACTCATTCAGGCAGTCATCTTCTGTTCGGCTTAGTCCCTTTCTTCATCACTATTTTCGAGATGAAAATAGTTTTACAGATGCCTGAAATGTGGCCTGCAATGACAAGAGGCTGTCAGATATCCCCAAATAAAGCAACGGACCAAGAACTGAGCCTTGAGGTACACCACAGTGTGTTTCTGATCGCTGTGATGCCTCCTCATCCAATAACAGAAGGTAACAGCTGTCTGATTCCCCAGGGGTCACCACAGCGGAATGAATCGCCAACTATTCCAGCACATGTTGGCCTTCCAGCTGCTGGGAAACACCCATACGCACTTATTAACACACACACTCATACACTACGGCCAGTGTAGTTGATCAGTTCCCCTATAGCGCATGTGTTTGAACTGAAACCGGAGTACCCGGAGGAAACCCACGCCAACACGGGGAGAACATGCAAACTCCACACAGAAACACCAACTGACCCAGCCGAGACTCAAACCAGAGACCTGAGTGCTGTGAGGCCACAGTGCTGACCACTGTCACGCTGTCTGAAAGTGAAGTCTTGAACAAAGCCAGAGCAGACTATTAATATTAAATTGATCTGCGAGTGTGTGTATGAACATGATATGATCTACATTCAGTTCATCTTTATTTCTGGCTTGCACACTCAGGGCTGGTGGAGCTGTGCTGCTGTGGATCACGCACACCTTAATTAACCTGAACTCCATCAGGTTTAGTTGATCTACATGTGCTCCAGCACTGCTCTCCTGTCCGCCTGGTGTGCTGGATTTCTCCTCTTCACTGTGGCTGTGCTTTATCCTCTTCATCTCTGTTGAGCTGCTCGACTAACTCTACACGCTACACCGTTCTGGAGAACTGAAGATGACTCGACCTGACTTTACCAGGTCAGACCTGCCTTGAGCAATTGTCTACAGACTGGGGTTCTCCAGCAGAGTCTACTGTGGATCTCTCCACTACAGCAGGACGGTCGTGTGGATGTGCTGATCAATAGCTCTGTAGTGATTGGGAATTCAGGATTCTGCAGTGTTGTTGAATGTGCTGTGTTTAAGGTTTTACGGCATCATGTATACAAATATGACCAGTTTAATACACTGTCCTATTGTTCATCAGGCACATCTACTACTGTGAAGTGTTCTCCAGACTCTGGTGTGTTTGACTGAACTGAACTCAGGAGCCAGTCAGGAGATCTTCCTAACAGATATAATCATGTATATGGTGCACTCTAGCTTGTGTAAACGGCTTGATTATTACTACACCTACACCACATGTAGAGCTCTAGGAGACGGGCTTTACTGCAGTGCATTTGTTGGGGCAACTGCATTTATTCTTACATTTGTATTATATACAGTGTTCAAACTATACTGTGGCCTTTGGGGAACCCTCTTGGGATCTTGAGAGTGCCTTGTTGCCACAATGCTGTAGGTTATAAGACACACAGGATCCCTGTCCTTAAAAAGCAATACATAAACCAAAAATTATAAATATAAATCTCTCTCTCTCTCTCTTCATCTTGCTATATATATATTTCATTGTATCTTATATTACAAAGTAGGCAAAATGAACAAAACACCACGATAGTTTCTCGCTAAGTGCTTAATAACTTTCTTTGACCCTTGAAAATACCTTTTGAGGGATTTATTTATTACATGTACAAACGACATTACATTGTTGTCTAACTCCACCTGCAGTGCTGTGACAGGAATACATTTATTTATATCAAATTATCAAACACAAGTGTTTCACTTAACAACAAAACTAAACCAATAACCTCGTCGGGCAGCCTATCATTTGTCTATTCGCTCTGGAACTCAAGATGATAATTCATGATCACAGCGCACAATACTGAAAGCACATGTTAAAGTAACAGTCAATATTTTTTTTGTGACCCCCAAAACTTCACGCTTTGTTTTCAGGGGAGCTCATGCCTTAATTAGATGAGCGAACTCCCCCTAGCTCCCAAGTAGTTCACATCATGAACATATAGAACAAGGACCAGCAACCCTGTTGCCGGAGAGCTGCCTTCCTGTAGAGTTCAGCTCCAACCCTGATCAAACACACCTGAACCAATTCATTAGGACCTGAAGCAGCTCTGAATAATTACAGACGGGTGTGTTTGATCAGGGTTACAACTAATAGCTCCTCCCTAAAGAACTGATAGCTCCTCCCTAAAGAACTGATAGCTCCTCCCTAAATGACTGATAGCTCCTCCTTAAATGACTGATAGCTCCTCCCTAAAGAACTGATAGCTCCTCCCTAAAGAACTGATAGTTCCTCCCTAAAGGACTGATAGCTCCTCCCTAAAGAACTGATAGCTCCTCCCTAAATGACTGATAGCTCCTCCTTAAATGACTGATAGCTCCTCCCTAAAGAACTGATAGCTCCTCCCTAAATGACTGATAGCTCCTCCTTAAATGACTGATAGCTCCTCCCTAAATGTCTGATAGCTCCTCCTTAAAGGACTGATACCTCCTCCGTAAATGACTGATAGCTCCTCCCTAAATGACTGATAGCTCCTCCCTAAAGGACTGATAGTTCCTCCCTAAAGGACTGATAGCTCCTCCCTAAAGGACTGATAGCTCCTCCCTAAAGGACTGATAGCTCCTCCCTTAAATGACTGATAGCTCCTCCCTAAATGACTGATAGCTCCTCCCTAAATGACTGATAGCTCCTCCCTTAAATGACTGATAGCTCCTCCTTAAATGACTGATAGCTCCTCCCTAAAGGACTGATAGCCCCACCCTAAATGACTAAAAGCTCCTCCTTAAAACACTTATAGCTCCACCCTAAAACACTGATAGCTCCTCCCTAAAACACTGATAGCTCCTCCCTAAAACACTGATAGCTCCTCCCTAAATGACTGACAACTCCTCCTTAAATGACTGATAGCCCCACCTTAAAGGACTGATGGCCCCTCCGTAATTGACTGATAGCTCCTCCCTAAAGGACTGATAGCTCCTCTTTAAAGGACTGATAGCTCCTCCCTAAAGGACTGATAGCTCCTCCCTAAATGACTGATAGCTCCTCCCTAAAGGACTGATAGCTCCTCCCTAAAGGACTGATAGCTCCTCCCTAAATGACTGATAGCTCCTCCCTAAATGACTGATAGCTCCTCCCTAAAGGACTGATAGCTCCTCCCTAAAGGACTGATAGCTCCTCCTTAAAGGACTGATAGCTCCTCCCTAAAGGACTGATAGCTCCTCCCTAAAGGACTGATAGCTCCTCCCTTAAATGACTGATAGCTCCTCCTTAAATGACTGATAGCTCCTCCCTAAAGGACTGATAGCTCCTCCCTAAAGGACTGATAGCCCCACCCTAAATGACTGATAGCTCCTCCTTAAAACACTGATAGCTCCACCCTAAAACACTGATAGCTCCACCCTAAAACACTGATAGCTCCTCCCTAAAACACTGATAGCTCCTCCCTAACACTGATAGCTCCTCCCTAAAACACTGATAGCTCCTCCCTAAATGACTGACAACTCCTCCCTAAATGACTGATAGCCCCACCTTAAAGGACTGATGGCCCCTCCGTAATTGACTGATAGCTCCTCCCTAAAGCACTGATAGCTCCTCCCTAAAGCACTGATAGCTCCTCCCTCTGGGATGCGTCATGAATAAACGCTCCTCCACTCGTATCAGAGCAGGAGGTGTAGGGTTTGATGTGAGTTGTGTCCAGGACTGACGTTTGCTCTTCTCTGTCCTCTTGTGTCCTCAGATGTGCTCTGTCCATGTGTTGGTCCTTCTGTTGGCGGGTCTGGATGTCTGCTGCAGTGAGCAGGAGCGTCCCGCGGTGCCGCTGGGCTGTGCTCTGGGCCCGCCGCCGCCCTACACGCTGCTGTGTGACCTGGATGCGGTGTGGGGCGTAGCGGTGGAGGTGCTAGCGGCCGCTGGGGTGCTGTCTGCTCTGCTACTGCTGATGGTGTTGCTCTGCCGGCTCCACTCGGTGAGCGAGGCTCCGAAGCGCAGCGGCATCGGCCTGATAATGCTAATGCTAACCGGCGTCATCGGCCTGTTCGGACTGAGCTTCGCGTATCTGATCGAGTTCAGCGAGAGCATCTGCATCATCCGCCGCGCCCTCTGGGGGCTGCTCTTCTCTCTGTGCTTCGCCTGCATGCTAGCGCAGAGTCTCCGGCTGCGCAGGCTAGCTAACGAGTCTCGTAGCCCCGGCGGATGTGCGCTGATCGGACTAGCGCTAGGGTTGACGGCGGTGCAGGGGATCATCGCTGCAGAATGGCTCCTGCTGACCGTGCTGAGGGAGGGTCACCCCGCGTGCCAGTTTCAGCCGCTGGACTTTACGCTAGCCTGTGTGTATGTGCTAGCGCTGCTGCTGGCGGCGCTAGTGACGGCGGCATTAGCGCTGTGCGGGAAGACGCGGCAGTGGCACTGTAGTGTGGTGTGGCTGCTGGTGTCCTGTGTTCTGTCCGTCCTGCTGTGGGTGGCCTGGATCGGGTTCTATGTCTATGGGAACGGGATGCTGGATAAATCTCCAGACTGGGACGACCCGGCGTTAGCGGTAGCGCTTGTAGCTCAGGGCTGGCTGGTACTGCTGTGCCACGCGGCTCCTGAAGCCCACGCCTGTCTCCGCGCTCCACCGCAGCCGTCAGCGCCTGATTATTTCGACACGTCCCAGAATTCCTCACGCATGAGGGAGGCCAGCCTGGACGAGGACATCCCCATGTCCCACCGGCAGTTCGTGGACAACCAGAGATACGCCTTCGACGAAAACGCTGCAGGTACGCATACACACAAACACCAAGACCCAAGAGTTTCAATGTTTACTTTCACCGTTCCGTTTCGGGACACTCCTGAGGTCAGTAAGGTACATCTCTGAACTTTAATAGTGAATCTATAATAAACCCCGCATGTCCCGCCTCCTTTAATCAGCCGCAAAGCCTTCTGGGACTTCTCCAGCAAGTTTTGTGCTCAAGTCTGCATCGATGCGTCCTTTATCGAGAACACAGCCCAGAAGTTTCACGCGTCCTCTGTTCATGCAGTCTTGAGTATTGGAACTGAGCTTTGGCGGTTGATGATGACGCTACTCGAGGACGCGAGACCGCTGAAGAACACGTATCGAGAATCAGCCTCAGTGTTTCACAAAGCTTTGTGTATTGTCCATATGGTATATGTCATGACGTGTGGCGTCTTTAAACCTGATAACAGCATGTGTGTGTGTGTGTGTGTGTGTGTGTGTGTGTGTGTGTGTGTGTGTGTTGTTGCAGGTTTGGGTGGTGGAGGTCATCATAACGGCAGCGGCGGCACCAGACCCAGCGCCCCCTTCAGGAGTAACGTCTACCAGCCCACTGAGATGACCATGATCCTCAACGGAGGAGCCGTGAGTTCCCTATAACACTGCTGTTATTCACTGTGTCCTTCATGTATGAGCAGACGCAGACGTTATTACTTCCAGACTCTAGATCTCATTCACTTTCACTGATTTCAGTAATGAACACAGCTCGTTGTGCTGCTTGAAGCAGGAGTTTTCTGCCGTTTGTTATTCCAAGGCTCTGAAATCTCACACTTCTCTACTATATAGTCAGTTGAAAACAGTATTTGAGCCGAGTAGTCCTGAAGTAAATGTCAGGAGAAACTCTCTCCTGATGTCTGAACACAACACTATACTCTACTCTAGTCTAGAGGATGATCTGTGTGTGGAGTGTGTGGAGATCTGGAGTCGAGACACACACTCTGTGTACTATTTTAACAATGTAGGCATAAAGTCTAAAGCTCACGACGCAAAGGCATTAAGGCCGTGTCCAGGGCCGGCGCTACCATAGAGGCGACCTAGGCGGCTGCCTAGGGCGGCAGAATAGAGAGGGCGGGATCCCCGAAACTACCCTCGCCATCCACGCCCTCATCCGCGTCTAGGGTGGCATAATAGATAGAGCGGCGTCTCCGAAACTGTCCTTGCCACCCGCGGCCACAATTATATCCGCGTCTAGCGTGGCAGAATAGAGAGGGTGGCGTCCCCGAAACTACCCTCGCCACCCGCGCCTCAGTTATAGCTGCGTCTAGGGCGGCAGAATAGAAAAAATACCCCCCCACCCCCACCCCCCGGTTTCACTTTAGGTTTGAGGACGGCGTGACCATCCTTTGCCTAGAGCAGCAGTTCAGCTTGCTCCGGCCCTGGCCGTGTCTGAATCCACTTCTGCTAGTAAAGGACAGATAAATCCGCTCTGTGATGTCTAGATATTCTTCAGGACACTAGTGTTCAGCTTACAGTGACATGTAAAGGCTTCACTAGGGTAATTAGGGTAAAGTTAGGGTAATTAGGCAAGTCATTGTATAACAGTGGTTTGTTCTGGAGACAATCCAACACTAATATTGCTGAAGGGGTGAATAATATTGAGCTTAACATGACTTTAACACTATTAAACACTGCTGTTATTCTAGCACAAATAAAACACATCAGACTTTCTCCAGAAGAACAAACATTAGAGGAAACACTGAGAGAAACTGCTGAATCTGTTCATCATATTGGATTATATTTTGGACAGGAGGGTGAGTGATTCTTCAGCTGTATGTGCTGTAGTTGTGTCTGATGTGTTGTTGTTGTTGTTGTTGTTGTTGTGATCGCAGGTTCCGTCGGCTCCCCCCACATACACCGGCAGACAGCTCTGGTGAAGGAGACTCGGAGAAGAGCGACTGGACAAGAGGAGGCAGAAACCCCTGAGAGATGAGATGCATGCAGACGTGCGGTGATGAAGAAGCCCACAGGGCTCAAATATAGGACTGGGATGCTGGTATGTGCGGGCAAACACCACCGGACACCGTTCCCTTCACCATCAGTAGCTGTAGTGATTCTGAGTTCCTCCACTTTCTGCTGTTCATGTCACTGTCTGAAATACATCTCCACGTACTGGCCTCAGATCTGTCCTGAAGGGATCTCAGTATGCTTCAACACGGGCTCATTGGAAATACACCGCCAAACACGCTGCTCTTACAGTCTCCCCTGAAAACAAGCAGAGTAATCTGACAATGGGGTCTTGTTTTCAAATGGAAATAATATTGTTCAGCTTCACACATTGTCAGATTAATCAGCTCGTTTACCAGAAAAACACACCTAATGTTGACTCTTTATTTCTGAACACAAGACTTTACTTTACTCTAGTCTACAGAATGTTTCTGGATTTAAGAATTCTCAGATATTTGGATTTGAAACGAGACTAAAACTGTAAGAAGGAGCAGCAGCATCTGCAGTGTGGGTGAAATGAACACTAGGGGGCAGTATGACCACAACAACACTGTTGCCTTTCACACTAATGATATTCACAGGGACATATTATCAACAGATTAGGGATTATTATCTTGCAGTTATTTGCACTACACCACATAAACACCACAAAACAGCTTAACAATGTCTTTGATTAGTAACGGATACGTTTGCGTCTCCTATCTATCTCCATGTGGGAAGCATTTCTGGCATAGTGCATTTGCTCAATGCTCACTTTATAGTGTTGAGGGCTTGGGTTCGAGACTGGTGATGCACACAAGAGATAAAAGCCATGTAAAAATCGAGGTAAAACCAAGATGGCAGTGTATTTGTGCTTGTGCAAACACTTGTCTACAAGCACGCCTCCTAGTGGTCGTATAAAAGAAAGACGACGAACTGTGAAAATGTAAATAGCTCCCTCTAGTGGATTTGTCATAGAATACATACAAAAAAACACACCCCTAGTGATGTATTTCAGATTTGCAATAATGTACACAGCGCCCTCTAGTGGATTTGTAATCTGAAATGCACAAAACGCGCACTAAATAACGTATTTTATTCTCAAATTGTAGACAGCGCCCTCTAGTGGAACTGTCGACTAAAGCACAACAAAACACGCGCTAATACATAATGTATTTCAGATTCACACAAATGTAGACGGCGCCCTCTGGTGGATTTGTCATGTGAAACATACAGCAAAACACATGCTGAGTAATGTATTTCATTCTCAAAATGTAGACAGCGCCCTCTGGTGGATTTGTCATCTGAAATGTGCATCAAACATAGCCCAAATCGTGCATTTCGGATTACCAAAAAATATGCACAGCACCCAAAGTGGATTTGTCACAGGGAACGCACAGCATGTTATATGCTGAATTACGTATTACAGATTTAAAGAACATAGTCAGCGCCCTCTAGTGGATTTGTCATTGAATCAAGTGACAAAACCAGTCTGATCTCCTGAGGAAACAGACGTATTTTACATTTTGTCAGTTTAGTGGTTAATTCATACAAGATCAGTCGTACGAAAATGTATGATTTTAAAAAGGAGGTGAGGCACCTAACCCCACACCGAAACCCAATCGTCATTGGGGGATGAGCAAATCAGACTAAATTGTACAAATTAGATCGTACAAATACATACAAATTAGACACTAAATCAAAAAGTTACGAATTGCTGTGAGATTGTGTTGGACAAAACACTCTAAGAAGCGTATTATTTAGATTCGCAAATTGTAGACAGCGCCCTCTAGCGAATTTGTCATGTGAAACGTACAACAAAATACACCCTAAGTGATGTATTTCACTTTCGCTAAAATGCAGACAGCGCCCTCTAGTGGATTTGTCATCTGAAATGTACATCAAACATAGCCTGGGTCGTGCATTTTGCATTCACAAAAATATGCACAGTGAACTCACAATAAAACCTGCTAAATTACGTTTTTCAGATTCTCAAAATGCAGACAGCGCCCTATAGTGGGTTTGTCATCTAAATGTACAACAAAACACAGCTTGAGTAATGCATTTCAGATTCAGAATAATGTAGACAGCGCCCTCTAGTGGATTTGCCATCAGAAGCTGCAAGAAAACACACCTGCAGCAATGCATTTTACATTTCACTCTCTCTCTATAGATATATATACACATTTCCAATCAGCCTGGGTCGGTATATCACATGCAGAATAAACAGGTCTGTCTCTACTGAAGTGGTGTTGGTGCAGTGAAACCTACACATTCTATCCTATCCTATTCTATTATGTGTGTGTGTGTGTGTGTGTGTGTGTGTGTGTGTGTGTGTGTGTGTGTGTGTGTGTTTGAGAATGAGCCCCCAGTGACACATCTCCAGCGCTCTTCTGTGAGATCAAATGTAGTGCTAAATGAAATGTGAGAATCACTGCGCTGCAGACGGGATGTATTTCAGCTCACTGATGTTCCTGTGTTTCTCCACTAGTGCTGTTGAATATTGACTCTGTCTTGAACACAGTGATTTGTGAGGTGATGATGCAGGATATTCACATTTTATTAGGATTCTTTCTTCAAACTAACGTTGTTTAATCTCTGAGCTTCAGCTGTACAGTGGAGGTAATCCAGAAGGCTCAGGTCCAATCACTGGAATCGTCTTGTTTTTGGCTTGATGTGGATTGATTTTGAGTGTGTAATATTGTGAGAGTTTGTGTTTTGTTTCTAGTCCTGAAAACTCTTAAATCAAGAAGCACTTTCTAGACAAGTGACGCCTCGTTCACACTGCAGGACTTTAAACCGGATTTATAAGTTATCATACAGACATTTCAAAGAGTTCTTCACTTATACAAACTCAAAACTCTCTGCCTGCGTCTGCGGTGCTAGTGTTAAAGCCACATCTATCCATTTGACCCTCGCTGATGAGTGACTGATCCGCTGACTGATGCTGTTCTTAAACGCCTCCTTTAAAGCTTCCTGAGAAGTTTGAGACGCTGTCAGTGATGTCATCAGCACACAAGCAGCCAATGGGGTTCAGCTTTTTCTGCAGGCTCCTCCCTCAGATCATGCAGTGTGTGTGAGACGCCCTCTTGTGGATTATAGTGTGAACAGCACAGCGATCTGCTCATGTTTACAGTCATGCAGTGTGAACTGGGCTCTTGTGTTCAGAAATATTGAGTCAGAGTGAAGAGTTTCCTTAAAACAGGCGGAATAATCTGACACTGGGGGAATAATCTTGTAGAATCACATTGTTTAGTGTTGGAAGAACATCATTTAGCTCCTCTGTTGGCAGATTCTTCAGCTGGTTTTAAGGAAGAACGTAGTTTTGACGACATTATTTTGATTTTACACCACTGTTAGATGTTTGGCCGTGTGTGTGTGTGTGTGTGTGTGTGTGTGTGTGTGTGTGTGTGTGTGTGTGTGTGTGTGTGTGTGTGTGTGTGTGTGTGTGTGTGTGTGTGTGATGCTGCCCACTGCACACTGACCCAACACTAGTCATGATAATTAAACAGTATACAGGGTTGCCAGTTGGCAGAAAGCTCAGCCTATATTAATGAAACTTGATTTTACCCTCAGATATAGGGTCAGATGTCTGATTAAAGTGTGTATAATGAGTAAAGAGTGAGTAAATAATGAGATGTGTCAGGGCTGATTTGGCTCAATCTACACTGTAAACGCTCTATAGAAATAAAGATGAGTTAACTTGGTTGAAATGGGCATTTAGGCGAGTATGAATAATCATCATCATCATCATCATCATCCTGCGTATGACCACAGAGGTGATGAGATGATCAATACGGTACTCCTGCTGCAGATTATAGAGGCGAGAGTGCTCACGCGGTGTAGACAGCGACACACTTCATACCTTCAATAACTCCTCTTCATCATCCCGCTAATGTGATCTACTAATCATGGCTGCTTTACAGCATTAACAGTTCAATTAAACCTGCAGATGATCACAGTCTGACAGCCTTTATATAAAACAGAATCGAATTTGATCATAACATTATTATAAATGTTAATAAACGACTGTGATCTGGCTTATGGTTTGTCTCCAGTATTAGATTTACAGTAGACCTTGCTCAAAGATATTCTATGCAACATGTCAATATGAAAACACACACACACACACACACACACACACACACACACACACACACACACACACACACACACACACACACACACACACACACACACACACACACACACACACACACAAGGCGAGCGCTCTGCATGTCACACTCTCTCTGCTGCTGTGAGGAATGAGCCTGAGCATGAGCGCTGCTGTCACGATGGAGATCAAATCAAGGCTCAGTTCACCCAAAACTGAAAAACACAACAACTTTACTCATTCAAAACCATCATGAGTGTCTTTCTCCTGTTGAACACTAAAGAAGACACTTTGAAGAATGTTAAAAACCGGTGACTTCCATAGTACACTCAGAAATAAAGGTATAGGAGCAGGAGTACACATTTGTACCTAAAGGGTCCATATTATTACCTCAAGCGTGCCTAAAAACTCCACGTGTTCCTCTTAAAATGTTTAGGCAGTAATATATACGTTTGAGGTATTAATATGGACCCTTTAAGTACAAATTTATACCTTTTGAAAAGGTACCACCCCAGTGGCAGATCGCAGACCTTTATTTCTGAGTTTACTCTGGAAGTCAATGGTTACCAGTTTTCAACATTCTTCAAAATATCTTCTTTAGTGTTCAACAGGAGAAAGAAGCCCAATAATGTTGATAATCAGTCAAGAGAGAGTAGAGAGTGAGTGAAGGCTCATTTATTGAGTGAACTGACCCTTTAGGGGATCTTTTCTTCCACAGTTTTGATGTGTTTCAGTGAGCTGGATAATGAGGACACTGATCTGAAGGTTATGATGAAGATAAATGATTAAGGAAAGCTCATTTCTGTCTGTTCCTGACAGTCAAGTGTTAAACTAATCCTACATGTGAAGGGAAAGCTCCTGTTGGGCTTTCAGATAATGTACATTCTTTATGTTGTTTTGCCAAGATCCTGTGTGTGTTTATATACGTATGTGTGTGTGTGTGTGTGTGTGTGTGTGTGTGTGTGTGTGTCATTTCCACACATGTTTTCCTGGACAGCAAATAACCTGTGTATTTTCACATGACTGAAGATGAGTGGATCACTTCTGTTGAGTAGTATTAATAAACACTAGTGGATATGCACATGTGTGAGTGACTCTGCTGTTCCTCCACGTCTCTAACCTCTCTCCTCACCCATCAACATAATCAAGGAATAAAAGCATTCAGAGTGCCGCTGTGCGTCTCATCAATTCTCAATACTGTAGAGATGTGAGATGTTGCTGTGCTGATTGTAAAAGTCCTCCGTCAGTCCGTCATCACAGTGCTTCAGTATTCTTCTTCTTCTTCTGATGTTATTCCCTCCAGAACTGTGTTGAGCATCTGTCTGCGCTCAGGTCACTGCAGCGTTTGGTCTTGGTGTTCTGACTCGTTTATTAGAGGAGAGCAAACAGCCCAGTGGAGAATCCCAGCAGGTCAGCAGACTCCATTCCTCTCAGTGATGCTGGAGCTGATGCTCTACTGTGCAGCGCTGATGGACACGCTGCTCATCTCTTATTCAGTATGACAGTACTGCTCTTAAATCTAATTCACATCTTTGCCTCTAAACACAGCTATGGGCAGCCGCTGTGCACATTTAACCACAGCTCGATTAGTCAGCGCATATCCTGCACAGGATTTGTTTTAATGTGATGTAGAAGAGATACGGCCACTCTACTTACTGTACCACATACATACATAGTATTGACATCTAAACATAAAGCAATCATGACAACTATATATCATATGAAAGCTTAACATGACTAGTTTCCACATCTGGTGATGATTTATTATAGATATTACTGAGCAACAGGATATTCATTAATCTGCAACAATGCTACTTATCAGTGACGTACAGCATTACTTTGCTACAGCAATCCACACATGTGTTTTTAGAGGTTATATTCACATCAAATACACAGAGCTTTCCATACTATAAAATTAGATGTAGATAGTAGATGTTTAAAATATGGCTCATACTGCTAAAAACAGAGAGAAAGGTGGCGCTCTTGTGTGATCAGCAGTGTAAACTGGATGTGGTCATGTCTGGTACTGCAGCCAAACTGCTGCTGAAGGCTCTGCTTTAGAGATATCAGCTTCAAGTTTGTAATATAATTTGTTCAGATACTTCGCTTTGAGTTTCTGCCCATTTTAGACTAAACGTTTTGTAAAATACAGTCAGGTCCATAAATATCTGGACATCGACACAACTAAATAGTTTCAGCTCTCTACACCAACACATATGAAAGATAAAGCTGGTGCTGAAATGAGAATGACCCGAACACACTGCAACAGCAACCTAAGAAGGAGAAGTGGAATGTCATGCAATGGCCAAGTCAATCACCTGAGCTGAACCCGATTGAGCATGCATTTCACTTGCTGAAGACTAAACTGAAGAGGAAGTGCCTCCAGAACAAGCAGGAGCTGAAGACAGAGCAGAGGTCTGGCAGATCACCAGCAGAGATGAACCCAGCGTCTGCTCATGTCTCTGAGTTTCAGACTTCAGGCTGTAACTGACTGCAGAGGATGTGCAAAAAAAAAGTGAAAGTTTGATTTCTGATTATTATTCTGTCCAATTAATTGTGGACCCTTAACAAGTGGGAGGCACATGTGCAGACTGCAGTAAATCCTCCAGCGTTCACCTGATGTGGATGTAAACACTGCTGACCGCCTGCAGGTGAAGCACGTCTTGATCATTTCTCATCCATTGTGATGCTGTATAGAGGCAAACACATTTACAACGCATCAATTTCCAAATATTCATGAACCTTTATGTCCTTTAATGAAACATATTTATTGTTTTATTATTAAATACATATGCAGTACATTCAAAGGATGCTTGAAGCCAGTAACCATTGACTTGCACAGTAGGAAAGCAAACACTACAGCAGTTCATGGTTCATGCTAAACATCTTCTCCAGTGTTGAACAACAGACAGAGTGTTGAAATGATGACAGAGCTGTGTGTTTGTGTGTGAACTGGCCCTTTAAGATGCCGCTGTGTGTGTGGAGGGCGTCAGGAGCTCTGTTTTCTCTGCTGGAGTCGGTGTGTAAAGCGCTCTGTTCTGCGGCGTCGGCGGCACAACCTCAATATACACTCCAGCCTCCACATGCGGATCCGCGCCGTCCACCAGCGCATCCAGCTCTGACCACACTACACACACACACACACACACACACACACACACACACAGGAACAAACACACACAAACAGTTCAATAATGCAGAAGTACACAATCACTGATCACACTACTTTAACATATCAGCTTTACAGTGTGTGTGTGTGTGTGTGTGTGTGTGTGTGTGTGTGTGTGTGTGTGTGTGTGTGTGTGTGTGTGTGTGTGTGTACGACTGGTCAGCTGTATATCATATCTGTCAACATTGGGATGTGAAAATAAGAGATATGCCCATCATAATCAAGGATATTAATACAGGAAAATGAGTGAGTGAAGATGGCGTCTGATGATGAGGGTAAGAGAGTTTTCCCTCCCCATAACATGGCGTTTATATCATGATCAGTCCAGCAGGTGGCGCTGATTCCCTTATACAGCATTATTAGTTCAAATAGATTGAAACTGTTTATAAGCTGTCTGACTGTTCTATTAAAAAGGTCTACATGTAGAATTATACACTATATTATGGACTTAACCATGTTAATTCAGCAGGTCACTGTATAACAGTGGTTTCTTCTGTAGACCAAAACTAATATTTCTTAAGGAGGCTGATAATACTGACCTAAAAACATCATTATAATAAATAAAAACTGCTTTTATTGCAGCCAAACAACAAGAAATAAGAAGAAAATCTGTAATAGGAAATGCTGTGTGAATGCCCTCGCTCTGTTCAACATCCTTTGGGAAATAAAATAAAAATTATTTCCCATTTTTCCTACAGTATATATATTTATTGATATGTACTGTACATGTAATTAAAAACAAAATGAGCCGTTGTGTGAAATCCTATTTCTTTTATAAATTATTTCCCAGGTAAGTTAGCCAGAGCAGGAGTTCTGTCACAGTAATATCTGAAAGGGAAGACTCTGATGAATGCTGAACCTCTGTTCTCCTGATGCGTCCAGAAATCCTGAACCGTTTTGTTGATGTCGCAGCTCTTCTCCCGCAGTTCCCTCTGCCACTGCCGCAGCTCCTGCACCTCTGGATGAGCCCGCACCTGAACACAGAGGACACACACACACACACACACACACACCGCATCCACTGCTCACTCAGCTGATTTTTACTGAGAGCTCATCTGCTGAAGAAAGGGATGGTGAAAGACATACATCAAGCTCTACTGTAAACCCAAACAACACTACGGCAGATCTTGATGTTCAATTCAGTGACTGATTTAGTGACTGTATCTTAGTCCCTTTATTCATCAGGGGTCACCACAGCGGAATGAACCACCAACTATTCCAGCATATGTTTTACACAGCGGATGGCCTTCCAGCTGCAACCCAGTACTGGGAAACACATTAGAAACCACTGAAAGTAAATTAAAAGTTGCATCTGCATATACACATGTGGAAGGTTTATGTGCTTTGCTGACTGTTTTATGAACTGTGCAGATGAGCAATGCAATTATATTAATATGAAAGTACATTTAAGTAGCTTTATTAGTTACAAACAGCGTACAGAGCAGAGCGTCTCTACAACAGCTCAATCATAATCAGATGTACAGAACACACCTCTGTGAACACGTTCAGTGACTGTACTGATGTGTTCATGTGTTTGTACCTTATATCCCCTCCAGAACGCCTGGATCAGCACTGCAGCCTGCTCAGGTGTTGGAGGAACCTGGATCTGCGGTCTGGGACTGACAAACACAAGCAGACGTTCACATCTCATTTCCACTACGTTACACCAAACACCAAGAACATGTCAAGAACATTCCCCTCCTCTAATACACTACAGATGATGTTTTCATTACACTATCACATAATAACACTATAACATTACCTCATTTAAAGATCACTTGGTCATTTATAATACTCATATTCTACACGTTTTATTCGCCGTCACATGAAGTTGTACTGAACAATGGCATTTTCTAACTCCATCAACAAACGGATAAAGAAAAGCAATTTAAACTATTTCTTTTACAATTTAAAATGATTTATTTATGTGATTATATATTTATTATTTGATTAATGAACATTTTAAAGCAAGAATTCAAGTCTGTGTGAAGTGGAAGCTTCTGAATGCTTGTGTCAGTATGTTAATGAACTTCACACTGGAACTGAATATTGATTAGGGGGCGGGGCTTCCTTCAGCACTTCATGGTGAAGTCTAGATGGGATACGCGGCCGGCCGGAAGTGTGATACACACATCAGCATAGCAGCATTCTTTATCACACTGTATAACAATAATTAATATTTTTACAGTACTGTTACGGTTGGGTTTAGGGCTGGCTTGGGGGCAGATGTTAGTAAATAATATAAATCATTATCATTAATGATTAATCATTCAATCTAGCCACACACCATTCCCTCATAGCAGACTAACAGTAGGAGAAGTTATTAATATGCAGTTGCTATGGAAACCCTCAGGTTGGTGTAAACAGAAGGAGCCAATCCAGACACAGAACTTAAATCAATCCAAGATCATCAAATCTGGAGCTCATCTAACACAAGAACTTACGATAACAGTCTAAAAATGAGCACACCCAAATGCACAGTGCTCAGCATATATGCGTACAGCCCTCACAAATCTCTCTTCTAAATTCATATGTTTAATAGGAAGCTCTACAATAATATATCTGTGCATATACATTAGATTAGTCCGTACTGAAGCCAAATCTGCAGCTCATTTAACAAAATAACTTGTGATAATGCTGCAAAAATTAGCAGAGCCAAATTTATATGTTATAGAAACATTTAAAATGCAAATTTAAAAAAGGAAAAATCAACAGAAGCATTGATTAACATAATAAACTATTACTTTAATCAATATATCTGTTTAATAAATCTGTTTTGTTTAAACGCTCAAAAATACTTCGCCTATATTCACTGAGAAATAGAGAAAATATTCATTTTCAAAAATGGGCTGTACTCAATTATGCTGAGCAATGTGTTAGAGAAAATATTAAATAAAATGTTAAATGTAAATGTATTATCTTTCCATTTCTGAAGATGTTCAGTGACTAAAATATTATTTTATTGAATATATATATATATGTTTATAGATCTGTTTTTGTTTATTGTTGAGTACTGTACATATATATATATTTATGTTTATTTATTTGCACAGTTGATGTTAATTAAACAATACACTTACTGTTTGGAAAGCCAGTTCTGGACAAACGGAATGTTCTCAAATTGTGTCGGCATTCTGTCTGTCCAACGTGGGTTTTTACTGACAAATAAGAGAACTTATATAAATAAAGGATGTACAGTTGAACAACGTCCTGTAAAATATTTATCATCTTTAAAATATTTCCAAAGTGATTTTTAGCAGATTTTCTCCTCTAATGTTTGTTCTTCTGGAGAAAGTCTTGTGTGTTTTATTTGTGCTAGAATAACAGCAGTGTTTAATAGTGTTAAAGTCATGTTAAGCTCAATATTATTCTCCCCTTCAGCAATATTAGTGTTGGATTGTCTCCAGAACAAACCACTGTTATACAATGACTTGCCTAATTACCCTAACTTTACCCTAATTACCCTAGTGAAGCCTTTACATGTCACTGTAAGCTGAACACTAGTGTCTTGAAGAAGATCTAGTCTAATATTATGTGCTGTCATCATGGAGAAGAGGAAACACATCAGCTATTAGAGATGAGTTATGAACACTGTTATGATCAGAGATGTGCTGGAGGAATCTGCTCTCTGATAAACTTCACTTGGGAAATATTTTAAATACTAAAAGTTCACAAGAAGGGAAACTATTTTGACCTAAACTACATATTAAAATACATTTAAACACACTGAGCCTTTTCACCGTATCAATAACATTCACAACTCAATGACTGTAAGACACCAGCAGCACTGTATATTCTCCACTCACTTGTACAGCCATTCTGTAAGGAAGTCACAGCCATTAAATGTCCTCCTTTTCTTCTAAATAAATAAAAAAATGAATTATGAACAAAAGATTTAAACTGTGATGAGATTATACAGTGTTTTATATTAATATCTGCAGCTGAATGTATATAGGGTTAAAAAGGTCACACTTTATGATAAGCTCTCATTAGATTTCAGATGTTTTTCGTTCATGTATTCGACATTTACTGATGCTTTATTAACATCTATTAATAAAGGCAATGCATTATATTATTCAGTTATCATGTAAACATGGTTAACCTGCAGCTATACAGTCAAGAGGTGATGTCTGTGTGTACTCTACCTGACAGAAGTCTTGTGGCCTATCCAAGTTTTAGGAACAGCAGATAATAACTGGACTCTAGTGGATGATCTGGTGTCAGAAGTGTCTCTATGAAAGGTGAAGGCCTCTAGATTTTGCTGATTTGAGCTCAATAAATCTGATCATGTCTTGATGTTGACTGATTTGATGAGGACAGTGCGGTCTGACTCTGCTCAGACTAAAGTGTCATCACTGAACAGAAATAATGTCCAGTATAGAATATAAAGTCCTGCTGCAGTGGAGACAGAATGAAGATTGTGTCTGACTCCATCATGAGCTTGGAGGACTGCATCCATACATCTCTGACATGACTCACATCACTGATTAATAAAGTCATCTGGAATGAAGAAGAAAGCTTCAGCAGGATCGCAGAGTTCATCAAGAGTCTCTGTGTTCATCTTCAACACCTCCTCCTTCATCAGCTTAATAATGTTGATGTCTGGTGACTGGGCTGGCCAATCCTGCAGCAGCTTGAGCTTTGATGTGGAGGCTGAAGTATGAGCAGGAGCGCTATCCTGCTGGAGAATTGTCCCTCTCCTGTGGGTTGTAATGTAAAGGGCAGCACAGATGTCTTGATACCTCAGGCTGTTGATGTTGCAGATACTAAATTAACCCCAAACCATGACTTCTCCTTCACCAAACTTGACTGATTTTTGTGGGAATCTTGTGTCCATGCTGGTTCCAGTAGGTCTTCTGCAGTATTGGTGATTATCAGGATGCAGATCAGCAGATGATCCAGCAGAGAAATCCACCTTCTCCACATGATCATCTGGAAGTCCAGTTATGATCTGCTGCTCTCACAGCTGAGATCCTCCACAAGACTTTAGTCAGCTAGTGTAGATGTTCAGTGAGGTGTATTTGTGTATTAACTGTAAATATAATGAAATAAATGAGTGTAAAAGCTGACCTGTGTGCAGTGGTGCTTCAGTGATTCCTCTAGTAAAGCATGCAGCGCCGGCAGCAGCACCGGGAACACACACTCCTCCAGATAACACTGGCTGAGCCGACGGCAGAGGCGCTGCGTATCCAAAAACCTGTTCAGACAAAAACTGCATCAGTTAACCAGTTCAAAGACGGTTTCTGTGAAGCCCTTGATCATAATGAACAGCTCTGTAGGCCATTATTATTTACAAATTATACAATAAACACATGCATGCAGCATTGATGAGTACACTCCCTTATGAGAATCAATATTTCCATGCATTTCTCAGTGAATATAGATCATATATTTGGGTGCTTTTACACAAAACAGTGTTATTAAACAGCTATGTTTCTTAAAATAAGAGTTTGCTCACTGAACATCTTTAGGAATAGAAAGAGAATACATTTGATTTAAAAGGTGTTAATGCAAATGTAATTTTTATTAAACTGAAAGATATATCTTCACTGTTAATGTCAGGATTTGTCATGTTTATTACAATTTGATTTCATATTTTCCCTCAACATTTGTGCATTTCCCTGCAGTGTGATCTTCAGTAGTTTTTGTTAGATGAGTTGATCAGTTTAGTCGTCAGTACTGACTAATCTAATGTATCTGCACACATACAGCTGAAGTCTGTCTTTATATGCAGCAAAGATAAAATAAATCAGTTATTAGAGACGAGTTATTAACACTATTATGATTAGAAATGTGCTGGAATCTGCTCTTCGTTACACAGAAATTGGGGAAAATAATAATAATTCTGACAACTGTGTTTGCACATTATTCACTGATTTAGAAGCATTAATAAATCATGCTGTATTTATAAAGATGCAGTTTGCATTGTTAAAAGCTTATGTTAAAGCTACAAAAACTTTTATATTTTTAATAGAAGCCATGTCGCTTTATAAATACTTACTAAGTCATAATACGGTTCTTAACACATATAATGCATCATTTATGACTTTAAGCTAAAAACAAGATATAAATCAGTGTATTATGAGTTATGAACGAGCATTCAAATACAATATATCCCCTATAAAGATTAATGACACTATTATAAATGCAGAATGATTCTGTTGTAGTTGAGTCTTCATACATGTATAGGATTGTGATTATGCATGAATATAAACGGAGCTATACTTTATTAATGGAGCTATTTTATTATGAACAAGGGCTTTATAGAAACTGCTTGCGAAAAACTATCTATGGGAAATAAAATGACAAAAGTAAGGTGAATTATCAATGTATGACCAACAAGTAAGAACATAAAGGAGGAAATATATACAAATAAACGGGATAACTATGAATTACTCGGTTTGAGAGGAGCATCCGATGTGGAGCGGGTAGAAAACAGAGTCAGACTCGCTCATGCTGGTCTCTGAAATAACAAAACAGGAGAAAGATGTCAGCCCATTCATTAAACTACCCCCGTATCAACTCTCGTGATATTCACTGTATTTAATTAACCTTACATCCACACAAAGCGGGTTATTAAGACTTCATGAGGGAGAAAACATGCTTAGCTTTTAGCTCACCTTTAGATGCGGCGATATGGTCTCCAGCACTTTAAAAACAAGACTGCCAGAGTGCACAACACAACACAGAGTGCTCGTTAGATTAAAATAATGTAGCGTTAAATCAAGACACTCGAAGATTCCGCTCACTTCCTCCTCCTGTCAGCTTTGCGTTACCGTGGTGGCAGTAACCAAGGAAGTAACAACACGAGCCGGGATTCAACAGACACCTTTGCTGCCTATTATTAAAAGCACGTTAAGTTACTCGTTTGTGAATAAAAAGTGCATATTTTGAGTATATAGCAGAAGATTATAAAAGCATTGGGTCAGTCTTACTCATTAACGGCCCGTTCTGCTGCTTAGTCACGTGTCCTGTCAATCATCTCCACTCATCAATCAGAGAAATCGCCTCAGGTGTTTGTATTGTAATGAATTCAAAAGTTAATGGCTAAACTCCTCTTTATACTAGCTCACATTGTTGCTGCAGATGAAATACAGCGTGGGAAACGTGATTTAAGCGTTTTCCAGCGTGATACGTTAATTAACAGTCACTCAAACGTCTTTACCAAAGCCTATCCACCTAACGGTCGGACTCACGCGTCCGCCATGTTTGTAGTTTTTACGCTTCATTTTTTTTACGCGCGTTTCTGGTTCTTAACAAACACAAAGAAAGGGAATGTGCCTATATAGCACAATGTAATCTCGGTATTTGAAGCTGGATCTCACTGAACTACTGGTTTACTGTAATATATTCACCTGCAATAAACTGTAAGAGCTCACACATCACAAATAAAGAAAATACACTCACCGGCCACTTTATTAGGTACGCCTGTCCACCTGCTCGTTAACTAATCGCATGGCAGCAACTCGCTGCATTTCGGCATGTAGACATGGTCAAGAGGATCTGCTGCAGTTTAAAGTGAGCATCAGAATGGGGAAGAAAGGGGATTTAAGAGACTTTGATCGTGGCATGGTTGTTGCTGCCAGACGGGCTGCTCTAAGTATTTCAGAAACTGCTGATCTACTGGGATTTTCATGCACAACCGTCTCTAGGGTTTACAGAGAATGGTAGGCACTGGCACTGCTGTTGCAATGGAATGTTCTATTGAGTGTCGCCTCTTGGTCATTCTAAGCTATTTGGTACTGGATTGTAGCTGGAAGGGCATCCGCTGTTGTTTGAATAATAAAGACACAGAATTAGCTCCAGCATACATGGGTTCCTAACTTTTCCACTCGCAAGCAAAGACTCTAGATGTGCAATAAATGACAGCAGAACAGAGAGCAAAATGAACGTGTGCGCAATTGGGTAAACTGCATAACATTTTATCATCATTGACAAAAACAACTCATTATTTTTCGTATTTACAATCTATTGTTTTTAATTACTGTGTACAATGTAAATTTTCCATAAAACAAAATATTTTGATTAAATTATAAAGAAACAAATTTTAGGCAAGGTTTGATTGCTGCGCTGTGAGCAATAGGTCCAACAGAGAAAATCTCATATGATTTCGACATCACTGGCCTGCCATGATTAAAGCACTGGTCCAACAGTGGAAAAGCAACTACTGAGTGCACATGAATGGTTTCTCTCCGGTGTGGGTCCGCATGTGTTTATTAAGGGTTGATGAGTGGTTGAAACTCTTCCCACACTGAAAGCAAGTAAATGGTTTCTCTCCAGTGTGGATCCTCATGTGTCCATTAAGGTTTGATGATTGGCTAAAACTGGTCTCACACTGAGTGCATGTGTATGATCACTCATTTTCTCGCTGTCCTTCAATAAACTCTTCACTGGAGCCTGATGGGAATATCACAGTGTTTACAGAATGAAGGAATGAGATGGAGACACAAATGAAAGGTGGCCAGATAACCCGTGAGTAACGCATTACAGAAGTGTTTACAGCCTAGCATCGAGCTAAAAACAAGAGACTATATTAGCATTGAGCACATATGTTAAAGCAGTTCAACCCGCAAGATAATTGCAGCAAATCTGCGAACGCTACAAAGGTCAGATATAATACACTTACTTTGAATAGACGCACAACACCCGAAACAGAAGTGCAGTTCTGCAGGCTGCGCTCTGTTCTTCTGTGGAGTTTAACTGCAGCTGGCATTCATGGGTTGCATCGCCGCCACCTGCTGTTTTCACGCAGTCTTCATTCTTGTTTATTATATTCGCCCTTCCAGTCAGTCCTGGATCTTCCTTGACCTTCACTCATACTTTCCATCACAGTCTTTAGATGTCACGCAGCTGATCTTTTAACTCTTGCATCTCTTCTATGTATTTTTCCACATGATGTGAAGATGTGTCAGACTTGTTTCTTCCACCTGACCTTCATCGCATGACCCAGGTAAACACTTCATTCATTGTTTTTCCTTCAGTTCAGGGCTCGCCACAGTGGAATGAACCACCAACTATTCCAGCATATGCAGGGCTCCACGCTAATATTTTTTCTGCTGGCCCGATCGGATCAGTGGTTCAGATTTTTACTTGCCCTTCCTTGCTATTTCAAAGTCACATATTTTAAATAATGTGTCAAAAGCCAAACATAATTGTGCGCACACATTTTATTCAGCGTAAGGTTTTTTTAAATACAACTGGGAACTTTAAAAAATACAATTGTGATGCAGCTAAATAAAACAACAAACAATTATTATAATTGTTTTACATTCCAATTGGGTTATAGAGCAAAAATATACCAAGTCAATTTGAGGTGGACATCTGCTTTCAGTGAAATCTAAGTTTGGTTTCATCACACATCTGCATCCGCCAAATGAGATGAGTGTGAGGTCATTTTGTGACTCTATTGTTGACTTTTGTTAACAAATCAGACTACTTTAACATATGAATAGAAGGGCATCTGCAGCCTAAAACATGCCAAAGGAATCTGAATCAATGTCTGAATGAAATTAGGCTCTTTATAACTGAGATAAAGAGAGGGATCTGTGCAGTCAAGCGAAGTCAGAATCCTAAATGTGCATAGAGTTAATTAGTTTAAAAAGTTATAAAGCAAAACATTATAGAGCAGGGGCAAAACATGATACATAACAATAAAATTCACCCAAAATTAAGACTGACCTGAGGTGATAAAACCACAAGTGCTGATCACATGTACAGGTGCTGGTCATACAATCAGAATATCTTCAAAATATATTTCAAGAAGTGAAACTTGTATAATGTGTGCATTTATTCCTCACAGACTGATATATTTCAAGTGTATAACTCTGACGACAAATATCGAAAACCCATAAAATCTGTATCTGGGAAAATAAGAATATCTGGACAGTGTGGAACAGTGTGAGCATGCACAGCACTCAATACTCAGTGTGGGCTCCTTTAGCCTGAACCACTGCAGCATTGCGGCGAAGCATGGAGTTATTCAGTCTGTGTCCGGCGCTGCTCAGGTGTTCTGAGAGCCCAGGTTGCTCTGATAGTGGCCTTCAGCTCTTCTGCATTGTTGGCTCTGGCATATCTATAGCATCATACATCTCTACGTCGTGGTTCTTGAAGCACTGACTCCAGCTGCAGTCCACTCTTTGTAAATCTCCCCCAGATTGTTGAAGGGGCTTTGGTGCATGGTTCTCTCCAGAGTGCGGTTATCCCTATTGCTTGTACGCTTTCTTCTACCACATCTCGTCTTTTGGACAACTGTCAGATCACTACACAAAGATGTATACAAGACAAAACAAGAGCAAAAGCAGCTACTGAGTGCATGTGAATGGTTTCTCTCCGGTGTGAATCCTCATGTGTCTATTAAGGTTTGATGGGTGGCTGAAACTCTTCTCACACTGAGTGCATGTGTATGGTTTCTCTCCAGTGTGGCTCATCATGTGTAACTTAAGGGATGATGATAAGCCGAATCGCTTCTCACACTGAGTGCATGTGAATGGTTTCTCTCCAGTGTGGGTCATCATGTGTATTTTAAGAGATGATGTTAGGCTGAAACGCATCCCACACTGAGTGCACGTGAATGGTTTCTCTCCAGTGTGGATGCTCATGTGTTTACTAAGGGTTGACGAGTGGCTGAAACTCTTCCCACACTGAGTGCATGTGAATGGTTTCTCTCCAGTGTGGATCTTCATGTGTAGATTAAGGTTCGATGATTGGTTGAAACTCTTCCCACACTGAGTGCATGTGAACGGTCTCTCTCCAGTGTGGATCATCATGTGCTTATTAAGGTTGGATGACTGTATGAAACTCGTCCCACACTGTGTGCATGTGAATGGTTTCTCTCCAGTGTGGATCCTCACGTGTTTACTTAGGGCTGATGACTGGCTGAAACTCTTCTCACACTGAGTGCATGAAAATGGTCTCTCTCCAGTGTGGATCATCATGTGAATTTTAAGGCTGCTTTTTCTTCCCAAACTCTTTCCACACTGGGTGCAGATAAAGCGATTCTTGTCTCTTCTTTTTAAAATATCATCAGTCTGTAAATGATTGTCCTCAATTTTGACATGATGTTCCTCCTCTTTTACCTCCTCATACTCTTCAATTTGGTCTGAAATAAAAAGTTCAGTTTTTAGTAAGACAGAAAAGACACTGTAAACATTGACTACAATCTTTAATTTTGATGCACATTGATGTAAAATAAATCAGATCATGTTTAGTTAGATTTTGTTACATTAACCCCCGGGGTCCATTAGCATACATACGCGCAAGTGAATTCTTAACTTGATTGAACAAAAAGTCATTTTTGGTCATATTAATGAGGCACAGACATGAAAAGGGTCTATTTTATTTGTTTATATTCATAATTAAAACAAAACAAAATGTGTTTGTTAAATTTGTAGAGCAGATCCACAAAAAAAAACACCCTCTCAATGTCATCATAAACTTCTTAGTTTACACCCTAGGAAATGCACACTGCAGGGGTATGGTCAGATATGCGCTGTAACGCTAGAAACAGATAGTGGAATGCCTTCTTCACATGTGGACAGTTTGGGCATACTCGGAACTGCTTTCCCTCCTGAGATGCTGGACGGTTTGCCAGAATCTCTTTGAGGCTGACTGGTAGTCTTCCTTCATGGTCTTCACAAACTCTTCCCAGGCGACAGTAAGCTTGGCCTGTCTGTACCCATCAGTTGTTTTGAGAGTCCTATAAGCCAACCAAGTCTGGTAGGACTCCTTCTTCAGCTTGACTGGTGTCCACCACCGGGTTCGTGGATTGCCACCTCGACAGGCCCTACAGGCAAAGCTCCTCACCGCTGCGTCAACAATGGAGTTGGAGGACATGAACTACTCAGTCTCAGGGTCTCCAGCCTTCCTTGGGATCTAGTCAAAGCTCTTCCGGAGGTGAGTTGAACATTTATTGTGGTTCAGCCAGACGTGGTGATCAGTTGACAGTTCTGCCCCTCTCTTTACCCGAGTGTCCAAAACATATGTGCAAAGTTCAGATGATGCAACCAATAAGTCGATCATCGACCACCACCCTAGGGTGTCCTGGGGATGTTTGTTTTGGACAAACTGTGAAAAACACAGAAGTCCAAAAACAGAACACCACTCAGATTCAGATCAGGGAGGCTGTTCCTCCCAATCACACTTCTCCAGGTACCACTGTCATTACCTATGTGGGCATTGAATCCCCCCGGTAGAACAATGGAGTCCTCAGTCTGAGCACCTTATGCT